TTCAAATCGAAAACAATTCATTTTTCGGATATGTGAAATTCTAAAATTTAACTCTTAAATTCAATTTCACATGTAACATTATTTTGCAAATCAATTTTACAACTGGAATCAATTTAATCATATTAAATCGATTTTAGCGCAAGGTTCTTATTTTATTTTATTTTTCTAAAACCCTTTTATAATGAATAAAATAAATAATAACTAATGCGCGTATATGCATGGCATGTTATAAAACATATGAGTAGGCAGATTATATCTATATGGCATGTTATATGGATGGACATATAATATATAGTTATCAACATAAAATAAAAATATATGCAATCGACTATTGAGATGGATTTGACCGGGTCCCATGAAAAAATAAATTACAACTCAATCGAATCGAATAAATAAATAATTACAATAATTACATTCTTCTGTTACATCAACGGGTCTTCGATTCTCGAGTTCTTTATTCTTCGGCTTCATTCTTTGTCTTCGGGTTGGATTTCACCTTCCTTGGGGTCCGAAACTTTTTCGGGTCTGTCAGCACGCATTATGAGGGTTTCGAAAACTCTCGGGTCCATTCAGGTTCAATTCCTGAATTTGGGATGCCAACCGCGCACCTAGGTGTACGCGCGCGCGTGCGGGATGGCTGCGCGCTGTGCGCGCCCGCGTGGTCTGTCCACACGCCCGCACAGACTGTCCGCGCGCTGGTGCCGCGCGCCCGCGTGGTCTGACCGTGTGCCCGCTCGGACTCTTCCTGCGTTGGGGCGTACTTAAGCCGCGCGCTGGAGTGCGCGCTGGCCACGCGCTAAGGCACGCGCTGGAGCGTGCTCGGCCCTTATGCTGGGGCGCGCCCTTTGGGCGATTTCTGGAAATTTTCTAGGCAGTTTCTGGGCATCTTCAAAGGCTTCAAACTTGATCTTCAAGGCCTCCTTTTGATTCAAAATCAAAACCCTAATTCTACCCAAAACCTAGAATTACAATAATTATAATCCCGAATTAAATTACATATAATTAACGACCAAATCCGCCATCCATACATTCATCAACATGAATTAAAATTAAACATCCGTAAATGCAAGTGCCTACCCATCACATACATACCTAATTAAATATCACATATTTATTATATCAATTCTGATTATCAAATAATCGAAGCATAAATTAATATCGTCTATAGACCGCTCTGATACCAATTGTTGGTAACCGAATCGAATTCGGATGCGGAAGCGTGGTGGGGATGCGGATCGTGTATAACAAAAATTTCAGAAAAACTTTTGACATACTCTATAGATTATATTAATATATGCACGAATAAATTAATCACATTAATTTATATATATCAAGAACTCAATCAAGAAAAATACCTGGAAGCCAACTCGGATGATAACTTGAGTTCTTTGTCCACGAACAGTCCTTGCTCAAAGCTTTGTGTTTAGAAAACTAAAGTCTTCCACGTTAATTCCTTGATTCCACGTAGACGTGTGTGTGGGCACACGTGAGACAAAATAGGTTTGATTAAACACTCAAATTTTTCACAAACACCAACGCATGCACGAAGTGGAATTTTTGGGAGAAAAAAAAGTTTCCTCTCTTTTTTCCTTTGAGAAAATTCGGCCACCAACTCTTAGGGCAGAAAAATTGTTTTTTTAATTTTCTATCATTCTCATATTTAAAGAGTAGAAGTAAAACTTCAAAAAGGAATCAAATCTCTATCTCCTATTTTGAATTTGGAACAAAAAACTCCTACACCTTATCTCTAATGTGGCCGGCCACCCCTAAGGTTTTCTAACCCTGTGTGTGGTGCCAAATCAGATAGGGAAGGAAGAGACTTTATCCTTTATCCTGTACTCCAATTTTAATTCAAATTCAAATTCGAATTTAAGTCAAACTTAAATTAATTTGAATTATAAATTGAACAACTTATCAAATAAGTTCAAAAGGATAAATTTAAATTATGTT